GTAAAATTGCCCGGTATTGAATTGGTTAATAGCAAAAAGTAAAAAATATTGTATTTTTATCAAAATTGTCGGTCTTTTTTGGTTTATAGCACAAAAAAAATAAAAAACCGTACAAGTGATCAAAGACCACTGAAAGAAAGCTCTATTTGTGGGGGAAAAAAAGAACAATAGCAAGGAGAAACCAACAATAAATACCCCTCTGTGTGCCTTTTTTTTCTCAAAGAAACCATTAAAAACATTACTCAAACCGAACCCAGGACAGTTCAGCTCATCATTACTCCGGCTGTAGCAACTATAGAAAGAAAACAAGCTGTAAGAATATGCACAGCTTTTCTTTTGATGTACCTGGAATGTATTTATTTGAATTAAATGAAAGATACAATTGGATTAACATAACTGTGACTGAACTGGTAACATTTATGATTATTCAGGTTACAAAAAAATATTTTTAGGTTCTATGGCACACTTTTTGTTCTCAACTATGACTTTAATATGATACTACAATGCTTGGATTTCTTTTAGCCCTGATGTTCCTCATGACATGCTGCTTGTTAATTTATATCAAGCATTCTATCATGGGAGCTGTTCAGTGCCTGCTTCCTTTGTCATTAAGTTCTTGAAAATTTATAGACTAATTCTCTTGTAATCAGAGCTCATAAATTTGCTGTACAACAGAGAAACGTATTTATCTTAAACCAACTTTACTTTATAGCTAGAAATCAATAATTAGCAAACGCTGAAATTGTTGAAATGTCTTTTTATATTTTTTGAACGTTAAAGTGATACTAAACCCAGGACCCTGCATTCACTATATCTGGTCTCCCACAGTACACACAACATGGAAGTGCAATTGTCTTAATTCTGCTGTAGGAGGATGCAGAACCCTTGGCCTCTGTCCTGACAGTGCTGATTGGCCCTGTGCTGATCACATGCACTCTCCCAAGGAAAAACCACTCTATCAATACACACCAAACTGAACAGGTGCAGAGTGACTCCACACAATTTGCTTATCAGGAGATAAGAGGGGGAAACTGGAAGAAGGGGAGGATCAGAGAAGTCAGGATCAAACATCCTTTTTACACAATGCAGAGGATTAACCCCTTAGGTTCCACAGTGAGTATAACAAGCATGCTTTACTGCATACACAGACTGATTTTACTGTTGTGGGTTTAGTAACACTTTACGTTTGTAACTAGGAATGAGGTTCAGGTTTGCAGCCATCTAGAGTTTTGGTGGATGTCAGGGTTTGCCGAATCTCCAAATTTATTGGGGGAAATTCACACCTGAACCCATATGGCACAGCATAACATTTGTCCCTGGTCAGACGGGTTCTTGAGAGCAAGAAAAGTGCAGCAGTAGACAAGACAGTGCCCTAACTATAAAAGAGTGGGCTCGCAGCAGTTGTATTGCCAGTGTGTGTTGGAGCTGAATACATAAGGATGTATTAGTGCTGCGATATGTATGTAGCATGTAAATATCAGATTGCGACAAGGTGAAATCCACTCAGAATCGACCATACAGAAAACGTGAAGACCACTACCAAAAAAACCCCCAGGGATGGTGCTCATCTCTCTGATGGGCCCTTCTCAGGGGCGGACTGACAACTCATGGGGCAATAGGGGATCATGGGGCCCCTGAGTCCTTGCCCAAACTCAAAAAAGCCTATGAAAAAAGTACCAGGGGCATCTCATGGGGCCCCCTACTGACCTTGGGCCCTTGGGCAGTGCCCGAGTTTCCAAATGGTCAGTCCGCCCCTGGCCCTTCTGAATAGAGGCCAATAAAATTTTTAAATAATACACCCACATTTTCTGCTGGTCACTTCAGGTGGACACATTGCTCTCTATTGTAATAAAGAGGAACTTATACACAATGGTAACAGCAACTGTCCGGTGCCCAGAAATCTTACATGATTTATTTCTGATACTTCAGTTTCAAGCTCAAAGCTACACTAGTCAAGATTCCAACACTCCATCAAATATTTCTCCAACAGGGCCAACAGGGCCACACAAACTGGAGGTAGGGTGCAACACAACCAGCAGCTAACTGTCTGGGTGACAAAAAATTCTATACCTACATTCTCCAAGGAACACAGCAGCCAGTTGGGCTCTGCATCCACCATCAAGCAGTCCACAGCCTCTCTTGGATGCCACCTGGTCCCCATGCCACATATATCCCTTCTTCCGGGGAGGCAGTGCTACCCCCCTAAAAAAAATGCCGCCCTAGGTAAATGCCTTGTTTTCCTTGTGGTAAATACACCCCTGGTGTTGAGTGGAAAAAAAGCTCACAGATCTCTGTATCAACACAAAAGATGTGGACACAGAGTTCTCTCCTACTGTGCTATTGTATTCTGGCAGCAGGGACTCTCCCCCAGTCAGAGTACACAGATCAGCTTTTCGGCCATTGGCTGCAAGTGCTGATCAAATGCTGGTTTTCCAGCATGACCATTCAACAGAATCCAGATGTTATAACAGCTTCTGTAGAACAGAGAGGTGCACACATGCTAAAAGTTGGCCATTTCTCCTGAACCAGCCAAATTCTGATACGTGTATAACTAGCATAACACTACTTCAAGGTTAACACATCCTCCAAACCTGTAATAAGAGAATTAACCCTTTTTCTGACAGTTCTGTGTGCTGTGTGGACCTGACAGTGGGGGGGTTTACACATAATCCAGTGGCTGCAGCCACCATGATTGTGTCTAAAACTGACAGACTCCTTCCTGTCAGGTGGAAGCATTTGGACCAATGTGCTTCCTCCCCAATAGCTTCCCCTGGTAACGTGCCCACCCCCATGTGCATGCTCCTGCCTTGTATTCTGGGCTCCACTTGACCATCTGCGGGCTTCGGGCCAACATGGCAGGTGCTGGCAGGTGGAGGGGAGAGAGAAGAGCAGACACACATTCACTCTTCTCTTCTCCTTGCTGTGAACTGGAAGGTGACATGTATTATGTGACTTCCAGGTCACCACTGTCACTAGAATAGCCAGGGAGAGATGTATTGCAATGCGATCTGCATTGTAATACATCCAGTGGAGCCCAGAGGAGACATGCAGGGTCTTGCATGTCTCATTAAAGAGAACCAATCAGCTAAAATTAATCACGTAGGGGACTTAGAGCTCTCTATGAGATGAAAAAAGTTAAATGATTACTTTATGTTTCTGTAAAAAAAAAAAAAACACCCAAGCACATGACATTTCCCCCCCCCCCCCCCCAAAAAAAAAAAAAATTTCAAGGTCCCCACCCCTACATATATGCATGTACGAACATAAACATACATGTCAGGGGCACCGACGCATGAAAACATTGATTGCAACGCATGTTACATATCACCACGCACGCCATGAGAGCAATAATTCTAGTAACACTAAACTGATGACTTGTAGGAAGTATCACCTGTGAAAAATGTAGGGTGTTGAAGTTTGTCACCATTTCACAGGTGCGCGCAAATTTAAGGTTTGGTATGTTGGGTATATATTTACTCGGCAACCTTGTATTTTGATTTTTACAAAAAAATTGGGTAATTTATTGCGTTTGTTTGCCCTACAATTCACTTTATTGTGTTCTTTACTGAAAGTTTGCGCTTCGTAGACCTTTTACGGTAATATCATGACATAAAAATTGGAAACTACCGCTATTTTAGTCTCTAGGGTATCTGTTTTCAGAAAATATATAATATTTGGGGGTTTTGTGTAATCTTCAGGCCTAAAATTATTTTTTAAACACGTGTGAAAAAAAAAAGCAAAAACAGCCCTGGCAGCGAAAGGGCATGCGCAGTAGCGGCCATACGCTGTGACTGTGAGCTTTCATCCTTGGGAGACCTGTCATTGGCCTGCCTCACCCCCTGTCTCATCACTCCAGCCTGGAGAAAAGTTAAGGGAAACCCACCATGGACTGATATTTTTTATTGGATATGTTTTATAGCAGAAAGTAAAAAGAATTTTATTTCAAAATGTTTGGTCTTTTTTTCGTTTATATAAAAAAAATAAAAACCCAATGGTGATCAAATCCCACCAAAAAAGGCTCTATTTATATGTGAAAAAAAATATATATACCGTGAATTTCATTTGGGTAGTGTTTCATGTCTGCGCAATTGCCAGTTAAAGTAATGCAATAGCAAAACATGGGCTGGTCATGAAGGGGATAAAACCTTCCGGAGCTTAAGTGGTTAAACTAACAGTTGGAGCTCACTGATTAAACAGCAGAACATATGTCCAAGGTATTAGATAAAGCTTTGTTTTAACCTATGAGGTACATCCTAAGTCCATGATTGAATAAAAATGTTTGATGCTCCATTCACACCATTGCGGTTCTTAGTACTTTTTGCAGAAACACACTAAAGTCCATTTAACATGGTTTCCTATGAAACATGTTCACATCTATGCTTTTTTGAGCTGCTGCATTTTTGGAAAGGGTCAGAGGCTTTTTTAAAAGCAAAAATCTACTTTTTTGCTAGAATAGAGTTTAATGGAGAATCTGCTGAAATGCATGGTAGTGCATTTTTGCCACGATTTGCTTTTTACATTTTTATTCGGCCCAGCACAAAAAAAAAACTCCACTTAAAAAAAAAAAGAAAAGCAGAACAAAATCGCTGCAAAAACACGTGTAGCAAAATGAACTGCGAAAAGCACTGCAAAATGGACAAAAAGCAAACTGCATAGGTGTGAATGGAGCCTAAATCCGGACCATAAGAAAAAAATATGTAAAAAACCACTACACACTCCTATTAGGTGTGTTGTTTCCCCTCACATTTCATACGCAGCCTAGTTACCGTATTTTTCGCTCCATAAGATGCACTTTTTTCCCTCCAAAAAGGGGGGAAAATGTCAGTGCGTCTTATGGAGCAAATATGGAGCGGCCAGTCCAGTATTCCTGCAGCCGCCGCCGTGTCAGAATACCGGGCTGGCTGCTCGACTTTTCTCTGCACCAGAACCTTACCTGTTCCTCAGTCCAGCGCTGTACAGTCTTCTGGCGCCGGCATCTTTAGTGTGGGCACCCGGCTGTGACAGGTTCCAGAAGACACCGGACCATTCACAAAGCGCAGCGCTTCTCGCACATGCGCAGTGGGCACCCGGCTGTCACAGCCAGATGCCCACACTAAAGAGAGGACAACTCTGTGAAGTGGGTACCTGTCAAATTCAGGTACCCGCTCCCCCTCCGTCCTCAAAGGTCCGCAGTCTCTTGGTCATCACCTGTACTGTCTGCAGTCTCTAGTCATCCCCTGTACTGTCTTCAGTCTCTGGTCATCCCCAGTACTGTCTCCAGCCTCTGGTCATCCCCTGTACTGTCTGCAGTCTCTTGGTCATCTCCTGTACTGTGTCCGCAGTCTCTGGTCATCCATGTACTGTGTCCGCAGTCTCTGGTCATCTCCTGTACTGTGTCCGCAGTCTCTGGTCATCCATGTACTGTGTCCGCAGTCTCTTGGTCATCTCCTGTACTGTGTCCGCAGTCTCTGGTCATGTCCTGTACTATGTCTGCAGTCTCTGGTCATCTCCTGTCGTATGTCCGCAGTCTCTGGTCATCTCCTGTACTATGTCCGCAGTCTCTGGTCATCTGTAGTAGGTCTGCAGTCTCTGGTCATCTGTAGTAGGTCCGCAGTCTCTGGTCATGTCTGTACTATGTCCGCAGTCTCTGGTCGTCTCCTGTACTGTGTCCGCAGTCTCTGGTCATCCCCTGTACTGTCTGCAGTCTCTGGTCATTTCCTGTACTATGTCTGCAGTCCACTGGTTCAGAATATTTTTTTCTTGTTTTCCTCCTCTAAAACCTAGGTGCGTCTTATGGAGCACAAAATACAGTTTGTTTTTAAATGCATTTAAATTATTATGCATATAGGTTGCATATTTGATGGGTTTAATCTGTCTGTGTTTCTTTTTTGATAAAAATACAATTATGTTTTGTTACTTTTGGGAGTTTAAATATCATATGCTAAAAAATAGTTAAATATATACTATATATCTATAGTTGTGCATCAATGAAAGTGTGTTTCTTTTTACAGCAATTAAAATGTTTGTGTCATTGTTCTCAACTGCTGTATCCTATTCATACATTTCTGCTATGTATTAATACATTTCTGCTTTTACTGTATACAATATGCACTAGCTAATCACAAGGCGCCATTGCTAAGGGAAACTACAGCTCTACTTTAGAATTCAGTTTAGGGTTATCATTTTATATTTTAAACTGAAAAATAAAAACAAGGTGCAAATCTCCAGAGCATAGCATGTTTAAACAACTGAGTGTTTACTAAAGATAAAATTGCACTTACAAAAGTGGCACTGTGTGGGCGGATAAACATGGTTCAAATGGAGACAAAGAATCTGCAGAATGATATCCAGACACCCAGCCCTGGCCACCAGCATGGGAATAGGACCAAACCTGGACAGCTGATTGTTGGAGATGCTGATCAAGGGAACCCTAGTAGCCTCTGAACCCAATACTTGAAATTAAGTGGATTCACGGGATGGCAACCTACCCCATCCAACATCACTGGTGGCAAATGTGCAGTCTGTGAATGTGTTTCAAAGCTTACACACCTCTTAGCCTGAGATGAAGATCTTCCTCTCCATCCGTCTATCTTACAGCTAACCTGCAGGATCATTTTATGCAGCTTGCAGAGATACCAATAAAGTATAACTAAAGGCAAAACTTTTTTTAGTTTTGGATAGAGGTGAAGTGGATTAGAATACTTGTCAATTTTTATTGCTGTCCAGGTCCCCGTTAGGGAGATTCACCCTCTCTATTTTCTGGTTTACTATTATCATCAGGGCTTTTTTTCAGTGGGAATGCGAGGGAACACAGTTCCCGCACCTCCAGCACTGAATGTATGTAATGGCAAGGATGCTGGGATGTGCTGGAGGGTCTATTGATGCTGGCTGTTGGGGATCTATTGTGCTGGGGAGGTCTATCAATGCTGGTGGGGGATCTATTGTTGCTGGGAGTTAATTATTTATGAGATGGATCTACTGTTGAGAGAGGGGTCTATTATTGCTGATTGCTGGAGTGTCTATTGATGCTGGCTGGGACGAGATCTATTGTTGCTGGGAGGGATTCTATTGTTGCTGGAGAGGGGTCTATTGTTGCTGGAGAGGGGCCTATTGTTGCTGGCTGCAGGGAATCTTTTTTTTTGTTGTTTTTCCATACAAATTACTTAGCACCACAAAATAATGCTTGGTTCTGTATTCTCTAAAAAGGCAGTACTGAGAGGGGGCGGAACCTAGGAACAGTGATCAGAGATGGATAGGGGGCAGAGACAAGGGATGACTTAATAAAAAAGGAGAGTTCATGCACATATTGTCTGAGGAAAAAAAAGCCCTGATTATCATTGAAAAAAAATCTAAAACTGTGGGTTTTCCCCAAAAAAGTAACAGAAGGAAAATCTTCCAATGAGGACACTAGTGCTGGTGACCTGGGGGTCCCCAAGATATTCCATTAATTTGCAAGGATTTCCACCCACTTCCTGTCTGGATATAGGACAGGATGTAAAAGGCAAATCTCCGCAATGGGACACAGATGGCAAAAATAAACATCACAGGGGTTATAATCCTCCCTTACTCATCCAAAATGAGAAAAAATATTTTGCCTATAGTTCTACTTTAACCCTTATAGGCCCTGTGAGTGCTGGGGGGGGGGGGGGGTTCCTTGTTCCACTGTTTATTGTATTTAAAGTGATTCTAAAGGCTTAAATAAAAAAACAAATAACAAACATGTCTATATTTACGTGCTGTGTGCAGGGTTCTTGCACAGAGCAGTCCGGATCCTCCTCTTCTTGGGTCTCCTTTGCCGGTGCTCCTGGCCCCTCCCTCCTGTCATGTGCCCCCACAGCAAACAGCTTGCTATGGGGGCACCCGGACATGTGCACTCCCCAGCAGCCGCAACTCGGCCCTGCCCCCTCTCTTTTCTCATTGGTTCACTGACTATGAGCTGGCTGTCTCAACCAATGAGGAGAGGGAGTCATGGGATAGCCGAGACTCCAGTGCACATCACTGGATTGAGAGGGGGTTTAGGTGAGTATTAGGAGGGGGGGTGCTGAACAGAGAAGGTTTTTCACCTTCATGCCTAGAATGCATGAAGGTAAAAAAACCTTGAGCCTTTTCAACCACTTTAAGTGTATTCATAAATAAAGACATGACGATGCTATGAGGCTGTTGGAGCCCCGTTCTCTCTCTTATTTTTCAGTAGCCGGTTTCCCAAGCCTCTGTTTGTGCTGGCGGCCCAGACATAGCTTGTTTATGTTTTGCAAACAGCGCTCACTTCCATGATTTAGCTCTTGCATTATCATTTACTCATTTATTAGCAGCCTTTTTATACTATATATTTATGCATTTGTCATGTATGACATTTACACCAAGGTTTGATTTGTAATTGTTATCCTTTATTCGTCTGTGTAATGTGTATAACTACAGCCAGCCACAGATGGTGCGACTTCCTTTCCTGCAAAAATGGGTTGCAGGAAAGAAAATCGCTTAATTCCCCCATCAACATAGTCAGTGTTGATGGGGGAATCCCTCCCACAGAGGTGTTGTGATCCCCTTCTGGAAGACCACACAGTCACTATCCCTAGTGGCTATAGCTGCTGGCAAAACATGTAATGAAAAATCCGGCAGGCAGGCCGACAGCCTGGCCATACATGGTTGAATCTGTCTTAAGGGTTACTTATTATCATTGTCCAGTTGACAGATTGTTATAATCATTTTTTAGGTTACTACATTATTCCCAACTTGAGCATTTCTTTCACTTTTCTTATAGGCCCCCTAGTGGTTGTGTTATTATCTATAAACTTTTCAGCGTTCAGGATTGTGTGCCCCTAGCAGGTTCTAGTATAATTTTTATTTTCTGTCATAAAAAAAACTGTCTGTCAGCACTTTTATTAAACCAACTTTCATTCTACTTTAACTGTATAAGCAACAGTAAATTGAAATCTTATTGCTTGATATGGAGTATGCAGTTGCATTACTGCTGGTTGGATTTTCTTACTAATTTACCCAGTAGAATTTTTTGATGGTAAAAGTGAAATATTGCTATTTTATATACTACTATAAAATACAGAACATTCTCATTTCATCTTCACATTAAACTGTTATACATTTAATTGGTGATGCTACTGTCTTACTATCTAGAACAGAATAGATCCATAGTGATAGTATGCATAACTGCATAGTCAGTTGAACAACCATAGAAATTATTTTTCATAGCTCATCATCAAAGCAATTAAAGGAGGTATGCTAATAAAGCAAATTTAATCTGATGGAAAATCTGAGATGAGGCAATATATTTGGGCTGAGATGTAAATTTCTACCCCTTGTGAAATTTAGCTTCAAATGAAGAGCTTGTAATGCCTATGTTTATTCATCACCAAATGGTATGGCTAAACACACAGTGCTTTCCTTCTCAGGCACTTGTTTCACCTTCATACAGAAACAAAAGTGTTCTGATAACATTTTCTCACCCCTTCTCAGTTTTCACGTGCAACTGAAATGGGGGAACTACAATAAAAATGTAAACCGCATAATAATGTGCAAAAAGAAAAAAAAATGTTTTTTGAGTAGCAAACACCAAAGAGGATATCCTCTCCAATAAACAAGTCAGTAGTAAGTGTTGTGCTATTGCATATGTACAAAAACTAATAGCTAGACAATGTAATATTACAAATAAATAGAAAAAAGTATAATATACAGATAAGTTTATATATATATATATATATATATATATATATATATATATATATATATATATATATAAAAAAAGTGAACCAAATGATCCGGTGAAAAAAGCATCCCATCACCACCGCGAGAGCAAGCTGCAGGATTACCAGATACACTGCCCCCCTTATTCAGAGTGTTCAGTAAGCGCTTTGGCCAATAAATCAAAAAAGGAGATCTTCCAGATCAATCCAGGCACTGGTTACTCAAACCTCTCCTCAGATAAACAGAAAACAAGGTGTACATACAGTTATGTTCAAAATAATAGCAGTGTGTTGAAAAAAGTGAATAAAGCTCAAAATCCTCCTAATAGCTTTTATTTCTATACACACAAATGCATTGGGAACACTACACATTCTATTCCAAATCAAAACATGAAGAAAAATATATCATATTTGTGTTGTTCCTCTAAAAAAATTGAAGAAAAGTGAATATTAGACTGTTCAAAAAAATAGCAGTGTTAGTATTCTTCTTTACAAACTCAAATATTCACTATATAAACTGAAAAAAGTTTGAAGATTTTGCTTTCCTTTGAATCACTTAATATTTAGTTGTCTAAGCACTGTTTCTGAGAACTGCTGTACATCTGTGTTGCATGGAGTCATCCAACTTCTGGCACCTGTGAACAGGTATTCCAGCCCAGGATGATTGGACTACATTCTACAGTTCTTCTCTATTTCTTGGTTTTGCCTCAGAAACTGCATTTTTTTATGTCACCCCACAAGTTTTCTATTGGATTAAGATCCGGGGATTGGGCTGGCCACTCCATAACGTCAATCTTGTTGGTCTGGAACCAAGATGTTGCACGTTTACTGGTGTGTTTGGGGTCGTTGTCTTGTTGGAACACCCATTTCAAGGGCATTTCCTCTTCAGCATAAGGCAGCATGACCTCTTCAAGTATTCTGATGTATTCAAACTGATCCATGATCCCTGGTATGCGATAAATAGGCCCAACACCGTAGTATGAGAAACATCCCCATATCATGATGCTTGCGCAACCATGCTTCACTGTCTTCACAGTGTACTGT